AAAACCTAACAAAATAAAAATCATATATGTTCTTTTTCGAGGATGAAAAGGTCATTAATTCTATTTGTTTTTCTTGTGAAAGACGTATAATCCCAGAAAAACTAAATCTAAGACATCAACAGAAATAACATGAATTGTTCATGACAAAACTCCAAATACTTATTCAACTGCACGCTCGTTTTTTTTTAAGCCTTTGACATGTTAAAGGAAAGAATTATTCATTTGGTACTTCATCATGGTAGTTTGGTTTAAAGTTTGGTTACAATTACGTAGACAACAACAACCTAACGGACACTCCTTTCGCATAATTAGTGTCATTAGTATGCTCATGACTTCTTTTTGTTATAGAATTAAGGTAATACGTTTAATAGATTGTGATTCTTACATATCAAATTGTCAGAACAAATGGACAATAAATCTTTTTCTTCTATAAGATCAGCTAGTGTGAACTTTAAAGGTCGCCGCACATACATGGCAATCAAACTTAAAGTCTGTCGTTGACTGATTACAGCTAATTAAAATAAGTTTTTTTTCTGTGAGATAAATACATGTAACATTCCTGGTGTTAAATCACACCTTCTTGACTTTTTAATGTAGTATGATCTATAAACAAATCTAAATAACATTTATTCAAATTAATTAGAGATAGACTATGTTTATCTTTGGACAAAATAATTTTAGAGAAGAAATTTATTGAAATCTAGGAAATGTTTACTGACTATATATACTTTGAATAAAAAAATGCACAAACTATAAATAGGAAGCTACATTTTCTTATTACAGGTCATGTTAGGGTGGCCCTTTCTTATGAGGCTTTGTGTTTATGCTGCCTTTACCTATAGTGTGTAGAGTTTTAAATTTGACATATCTCTGTGTTATCAAAACATAATTATTTTACAATAATTACAGTAAACGGAGAAAGCAATTTTATCAATGATTTGAAGAATCAAATATGAGCATAATATTTCTTTAAATGTCGGGAGTTATTGTATGTTTACGATCACTGTCGTAATGTCAGTATTTATATCAGTTATTAAGGTTGTTTTACTATTGATCGCTCTTGAACTTTATTTCAAGAGACACATTACATTCATAACGGTGTAATGTTATATCTGTGATCGTTTTACGTTAGCAAAACAGCATGTTAGTTAAGAATAAAAATAACGGTTGTTGAGCAAAATTTACGCATTCTTGTTATCTTTCATTAAATACAATAGTTTTCATGTATATCAGGTCTAAATTTGTTTCATTGATGTAAACACATTTTTTATAAATGTTTCGTATTTAAAAAGAATGATGATAACAATAAAACTATATATTGTAGTTGTAGTATACATTATTTCATTGACGCCAGCAAGTTGGTTGAATAATCTACCTACATATAGTCAGAGATTTGGTATTCCTACTTGTTATTCAATTAAGCATTTTATAGAAGAAATCATTCTTGCAGACGACAATCTTAATTCTCGAACAAGGCGCGTAAATGGCTTCTCTGATGATGGAATGAACCTTTGATTTTATTTAAATCCTTCCTAATAATAAGTGCAGGACGGAAAGACGGATGTAATGATATTCGTCCATGCCTAGAACTGTAGTGTTAAAAAATTACAGCTGTTAGAATAATTGTGCTACAAAAAGGGGCAAAGAAACCCAAATGTACAGTAGTGATGTCCTCTTCTGCGATAATTCTATTTCATTTTTTTTTATTTTCAATTATACAAATGAAGAAGAAACAACAGAATTACTGAAGAAATGCAATTAATTGAATAAGTGAGAACGTTAGCAGTTTGCATTTTTGTTTTATTGGTTATTTGTAGTGTTTGGGTTTATTCATTTATTTATTTATTTTTCTTTTGTTTTGTTGTTTCGTTTTCCACATTAACAACAAGCATGCACACAGAATAATGCATTTTAAGTATAGTCGAACTTTATTTTTATATCTGAAATAAAAAAAATAAGGTAACCTTCATATTCAAGACAAGATTATCTCATTTTTTTAAAGAAAAATAAGCGGACCAAACACAGCACCAATGTAATTATTTTAAATCGCATTTTCTTTACTCTACGTGAGGTCATTGCGTTCTTAGAGCTTGTTTAACCTGTTTCAATTAATTCATTCTCGACAAACGAAATTATGTTCCAGGTTTAAGAAGTACGAATAAGATATGTTTGGAATGCGTTTAAATCAGCTTTCACATTAACTGGACTGTATATCATCGCATTCAACATAATTTAAAAGTGCAACTTTTGTTGTTATTATTGTATATACCTGTATTGTATAGCTGAAAATAAACATTCAGCAGAACACAGAACAAAAAAAATGTTGAAACTGCAAGTAAAATGATACAATATGGATTTTGAATGAATATTGCCACTAGTCAATTGCTGAAAACACTCGTGTTGCAAATATTGCAAATATTGCACGTTTTCTCGCTTCACTATCGCATTACATGATTTGCTTGAAGCATTTCTAAAGGATGTCTTGTTATTACATCTGCTGTTTCGTGCGAGGTGTGATTGAAATAATTGAAACAGTTTACTTGGTTGGTAAGGAAGTAAATACACCTTAAAGAGTATTTTGAATAGTGTTTAGCAAAGACTTAACCAGGCTAAGATTTCTGATAAGATAGTGAATCTTAGTTCATTTGATTTTTTTAAATTCTTGATCAGACTTTAAAAGATATGCATGTTTAAGGACACAAATGTAATTTGTATGTAAAATTTGTAAATACTTATACTTTCAAACCTGAACAACATGACTTGACTAAATTGGATGCCTTTTTGTCTTTTTAAGACAAACATTAAGCGCAAAAGATGTCTGAAGTATACGCCCACCAATTAGATAGTAAAGTCACCATAGGTCTTTTATAATGGCTCTGCGATTTAAACTTTAACCAAAGATATGAGAGAACACTACTAATTCTTAATTTTTCAAAGAAATTAACTGGTACATATATTTGTTTTAATAGATTTTCAGAAAACAAAGCTGTGTATCTGAATAATATATGGAGGATGTGTTGATTTAATGGAAGATAGTTTTGTTTTTGTTATTTAATAAAGTAATTGGTTGACATTTGTCTCCAGCATCAACTGCGGATATGTCCTTTTTTAATTTTGATTTCGAAATGTTGAATGTTATAATCTACGTCATTTTAAAAGATGATTCAAAATTTGAGGTTTTAAGAGAAAAATTGTTCTGTTTATAGGTGTTTATAATCTGATTTCCTAATAAGTGTTCTTATTTTAACGATTTTTTGTTATTAGATGGGACAAGTTTCTGATATATATTATATACTCTGACCGATGTGTTGAAATTCATACAATATGGCATTATTTTATTTGCCAGTCCTTTGAGTCCAAAGAAAAAGAAGGAGAAAATATGATAAACAATTTCCAAGTCTTAATTTTTCTTCATAACAAAAACCATTATTCCTAGTCGTCTGCACAAAAGCACACTTCTCCGCGCTCATTTCAACGTATTTGTATTCTCTGCGTTAGGAGTCTGTTATTTCTTAACCCCTTCACATAGAGATATCCCATAATCAATGACACGGGATTAAGTCTGTAAATGGGTTACGTCTCCACAAATAAATGAGAGCTTTTTTCAGCGATTTAACGACAATAATTGTCAAATCTACATACAGGGACGTATAGAGATGAAGGGGGATTAAAAATTCTTTTATAAATCTAATAAAAAGGTCAAAACGTAGGCGGTAAATTTACGTGAATCATGGTTTACTTTATTGAGATTGACTGGAAAACTTTATGAACGTAAAGTAATAATTTGAATGATAAAGGCAATGATCGATATGTGTTATCATTGTTTACTGTTAGCATTAAGCTTATGTTTATAATGAACTCTATCTTATCATTTTAGTGCCAATATCATATATAAAGAAATGATATGGAACTTGGGGTGTTATTTTTCAAATGTATTCATAAGTGAACGGTATTTTCTATATTTTTTGGTTATTTTGATTCAACTACTGCTATGGAAAATTTGTTAAAGGCAATGTCATAATGAAATATTTTATATGAAATAAAATGTTTTGATTGAATATTTTGATATGCTGCATCATTGTTATATATATTTCTTCAAACTATTCTTATGAAGCATGTCGTCGATTCATTAACTCATAACCGGCCGGCGGTAAAAGCGTCCAACGGAGACAAAGATCAGCCGACACAGCTGTGCCTACATTGTACCTATAATTATCTGCACTGTTCGCTTATTCAGTCAGTATACATTTAGTATTCTTCCCTTTAAAAGATGATTGGTCTTGTCCAGATTGAAAGATGGACAAGTCGATTTAAGAAAATTAGCAGAATAAATGTAAGTTAGACTCAGTTCAGATCAAAGATTAATTTATTAATTGTATATCTTTATTGTAGTATAACTATAAATGTATATAGTCGGGATAAATCATGTACCTATCAAATTTTATAAAAATTATGTTTTTTTTTCTTAGAACGGATGACTGTGTTTAATTTATAGTTTGGTCTCGTTTGCTTTGGACATGGTATTTCAAGTGTCGTTACAGATATACTATGCTCATCTTTGAGTAAAATATTTTAATCGAAGAAATTTATTAAAACCTATGAAATTCGTACTGAATTTGTCTAATTTAAATAGAAAATGAATCATAATCTATATGGTAAGTCACGTTTTCTAATACAGAACAAGTAAAGTTGGTCTTTTCTTAAAAAAAAAACTTCCAGTTTTTTAAACGACACTATGTATTTATATTGTGACGACCTATAAGTGTTGAGTTTTAAACACGACATAATAACTTTGTGTGAAGTCAAAACATGTCTATTTCATATTTACAAAGAGACTGTGTAGCAATTATCAGTATTCACAGTATATAAACGATTTGAACCCCAACCGGATCTTGTGAGAAGATCTCAGCATCTAAACGTACAATCAGGCGGGATGACACATTAAACTATTAAAGATCGGCTTAATTTCAGTATGTTACGATATGTTAACATTTGAAACATATTGAGATATACTTTATCTTTGCTTATATATACATCCATAACCTTCTTCGTAAAATATATGCGCATAAAACGCTGTGCTCTTCGCCTCATGTTTTGTTTATGTCAACACACGCCGATTACACTAGCAAATTTATGCTAAAAATTGTTTTACTTCACTATAACTCATATCTGAATCTTTACTTTATTGTCTTAACCTCATATTACCGGACAGACACTTGTGAAAATAGCTTTGAATATTGATAAAACATAGTAAATAATAGAGGCGACATTTCTGATAACTGTACCCGTCTTGCTAAAACAATTTTAATGATCTGTACCCTACTTGTGTTTTCACTGAACCATTACTTGCGAGTCACTTTTGATGATATTTATTGTGTTTTTATCATATAATCCAAATTTTATTGTGCAGAATACGAAGTTATTGTGTCACAAGAGCATGGTACATGTTTTAGTTCTATGTAAGTAACTAAAACTGCATATGAATGGAGTTTCGTCATGTTTTCACTGTCTACGAAAATACCAGCATGAAGTGGCTGGTTATACGAACCAGAAAGTCAATTATTTCTTGATAGGAATAATTAACTTCACATACCTTTCATACTTCTTTGGAAAGATATAAAGCTAAAATATTACGTATGTACTATAAATTTCTTATATTTAGTTCAACGGAATTGTTGTTAGTTTTGCCGTGACCGTTATATAACATCACGTATCAATAAACCTCGAAATATCATTACAAGATTACAAGATTTTTTGCAACATGTTGAAAGCTATTACACCTACCGTTGATTTAAAACAAGGTTCTATATTCTCAGAAATTCATTGACTTTCTATTTCTGACATGTACGACTTTTATTCTTGTATATCTATCATTGGCGTCGACAATTTTGGCATCTTTTTAAACGGAGAATATTCGAAAAATTTTGAAATTTTAATATTGTCAGTGTTTCAGCTATTGGAGTTATAAACGTCTTTTTTTCTTTCATAGGCGTCCACAATTTTGGCATCTTTTTAATCGGAGAATATTCGGGAATTTTTGAAATTTTAATTGTTAGTGTTTCAGCTATTGGTGTTATAAATTTCTTTTTTTCTTTTACGTTATTGGCTTTGACACTGAAATTTTTTAAGTAGGAAATTTTATTTTGATCATTATTTATTCTTATTTTCAAGTTGCAGTCTGGATGGCGAATAATTATGTGGTCAATGACGGCATTGAAATTCGTACATATCGTAGTCTTGACCGAACAGTATATGCAGTTGTATTCTTTCATGGTGATCTGAAAGAAAAATATACATAACACTATATATTTTATTACATAAATGATTAACAATAGTATCAGTTAAACCAATTCTCGGTAAATACCTTAGATCCCACCTTATATAATAAAATTCTATTACAATCATTTATATTTTCTCGCAATAATTGATACAAAATCGCAATTAACGTAAACGTTTTCTCCAATAAATCTTTAAATATACTCACAAGTCAGGGTACAGATAAAATTCGTAAACTCACAAGTAGGGTTCACAATCACCAGCAAGTAACGTTCAGTTTACGGAAATGACCTCCTTGGTAAAACTCTTAAATTTATGTTCAAGGTACAGCAATATGTTATGCATATGACTAAATTATCGTTTGTTATTGATTACTTTAGTAGTTCGATATCACAATTCGATGTTAAAACTAAATCAACCTTGGAATAAGACGGATTTTTGTTCGTGTTCAGTGTTGATCACATGAAAGCAGTTCGTGAGTTTCGGTTATTTTATAACCTTCGTGCTTACGTTTATGTTTTGCATAACTTAGACGTTTAATAAAGTTTCTCTCTTACAATATAAATATAGATTTACTAACCTTACGTCCATCAGTATCAATATAAATACCAATATCGTAAACAAGTGAAGCGGCAGAATATGGCTGACACTAAAATCTTCTCACAAGATCCGGTTGGGGTTCAAATCGTTTACATACTGTGGTATTTTCTGATATCAAATTTGAGCATAGTATATCTTTAAAATATTTATAAAAAGAATAAATATCTCTCATAAATGTAATTATATCTTTGACCTTTTTCGTGATTGTATTTTGTAATCTTTGTAGGTTGCCAGCAATACATCACTCGCGTAGGGCATGCCCTTTATCTGGTCTTATGGAGGTGGTATTTTCAAAATTATCACGTATTATATAATTTCTATATATATTTCCTCATCGGTGATATTTTAAAACCGTTTTGTAAATAGCGGGCGACAATTGGGAATGATATTCATTTTATGAAGATTGTTAATTTGTTTAAAACAAGTTGCTAAGTAGCATGACTTCGACATCACCGTACCTTGCATTGCAAGTCTTTACAAGCACCTGCATCTTCCGATCACTGAACTTTTTCTTGGGAGCCTATATCGTTAAACATGTACTTTTCTTGCGGTAACAGGGAGTACACTTAATAAGACACATTGATTTTTATAAAAATCAATAATCATTGATTATATTCGCAAGGACGGCTTCAGATTCTTGCCAGTTTTAACGAAATATTTTAAGAAAATATTTATAGTATTAGTGTACAAAAATAATTTTAAGGTACACTCCATAAAACATATGTGTATAAAGACAGTTGAAAATGGTTTTCACTCCGTAAATAGTTAGATTGTTAGCTTGTTAATAGAGAGGTAACAATCATGTTAAAAATGCAAAACAATGGATTTGGAATATTAAAACTTTCCTTAAAATGTGTACATTAATTTGATTAAGCTTTATTTTTCATTATCTGGAGTTTTGGACATTTTAATTTGTCTTCCTTTTTTAATTAAACTTAATATCAAATAATAAGATGCATTCGTCCCTGAATGAAAGGTGTTCGAGGAAAGCAGCATGTCAGATTGGTGTATCTCTGACAAAAAAAATTAACCTTATCAATAATGACAAAATCCCATAGATTTTTTGTTTGCCTTATCATTGCGTTGCAATTTATCTTTTGCAGATTTGTTTTCTACAATCGTTACAAAGAAAGTAGTTTGTCATCTTATGGTGTTTACAAAAACGTGAGGATTGATTTTGATTAAGGTAGCAAAAAATTTAGGTCTATCTTTCATTTTAGAACAACAATTTGCCACTTGCAAGAGTAGCTTTTCAAGTTGTTTACGAAATGACTTTTGGATTCGTGATATTATACATGACTGAAACAGTTGCTAAACCGTTTTTCCTTTAGTAAAGCATTTTTCCGTTTGTAGAGTTTTGATTTTATATCAAGATAAAACGTTACGAATCAAGTTAGATAGGGTGCATTGGTACAATTGCATAAGTGTCTTACCTTAAATCTACAATCTATTATCATTTTGAAGAGAAATAAAGAAACGTTATTGTGCAATAAAAAGTTTCAAGCATCACATTTAAATTTATTTGTCTGCTGTGCTAAGCTTTCATTACTTTTGTTATTTCTTGACGTCAATAAGTCTTTCATACAGTCAAACTCCAGAAACAATCTTACTTCCAATTTTCAACTTTGCTATTTCCTTTTTAATTTGGTCAACACTTTTTAAAGAGGACAAATATGACAATTTGTAAACACAGCGGCAAATTGCCTTCAATGCTGATGAAACAACACTTTGATTTCTCAAAGAGTCTCCCCAATAAGTTTTCACAATCATTATTTTAAGCAAGATAGACATGATAATGTAATTTGCAATTTACAAACCATGCTGAATTGTCTTTACAGACTACGAAATGACCCAATAATACATTTTAGTTGTCTACAAATATATCAAGCAGTGTAGACGAACGTTATGTACGTAATTTCTTTCTAACAAATTCTTTTCAAGAAGTGACCTTTTCGGCCTTTCGATATATTTTAGTTGCTAAAAAAATAGGTTAGGAATTCTGCTTGCATGTAAGTTTCGTTCTCTTCTGTAATTGCGCATTTTGTTTGAGACTTTCATTTCACTGAAACGTTTCAAAACGAAGATGCAAGTGATGTTTTTATATAAATACTAAGGTTTTGCAGTTTCATAAATCAAAGTATTGAATATACTAACTTTGTTTGGTATCACAAATAGGGACAATACCTTGAGTCTCACGGGACAATATCTTAAGTCTCACACATCTATTTATGTTCTACTGATTGTGGTGCTACATCGTTAAGTTTCTTAATGAATATCATTTAAACTTAATCATGATAAAAACGAAAATCCTATTCTCTAAGATTTCTCTATGGCTTATTTATAATTTCAACATTGCTTTTAGAATTGAAAAATACCTAACGCGTTTACAAATTAAGTTCATTATTTTAACATTAACACAGGGATTATGTGCGCCACCAAAGTCATTTATAATTTGGTTTTGCTTGCAATTTTTGCTTGCTTTGTATAAATCGATTGCAATTTTCGTCCTTTTCATATGATGTCACTTGTGTTTAAATGTGTTTATACCATTTAACTATTTGAAACTATTTATACCCTTTAATAAGAATAGTATTCAAATGCAAACTGTTTGGTTTGTAACCAATAATTGAATGATTTAGTTGTTGTTCTTATCATACAGTTCAAAAGATAATATCTGATAATTCATGGTGTCAAAAGAAATCATTGATTCGCATAACGATAACCACTGTACAAGATTATTCTTCATTATTATTTTCAGTTTAAACTGTTTTTATCTTTAGTTATTGTGAATATGCTCATATATATCGTTTGTATTATTTATATGGCAACAATAGTCCCTGCACGGCGCTAATAGTTTGTGCCAATGGTTTTACAGTCAACAAAAATCCATGCAATGTCCCCCGAGAATTGCAAATAAAATACAGACTGTGTATGAAAGGTAATGACTTGCCTTCAGCAAAGTAAGCAATTATTACCCTGTCATTATGTGAAGCACGTTTATATGAATTTATAAAATTGATGATGACAGGTAGAGTTTCCTCATAAAATATTTATATGAGCTTGATTATATTAATCGACAATAAGTGCAGTGATTTTTCTTTGTCTTTGCCTGCTTTAGGACACATTTGTTTTATGTTAGTGTACGTTGGCGGCATTCTTTTATTAATAAAATGTCTTTACATACCCTTAAAGCAGCATGCCTTCAGATTTCATTTTAAATTTCAAGAAATCTTGTGAAATGTTTTAAAATGTATAATATTGTCATATGAACAAGGAAAGTAATTTACACATTGCAAAAGACACTTAAAATCTACAAAAATACAAAAATAGCTCAGAATATTCAAAAATCTTCGTAATTGCGTTTGTCACGCAGTAGAAATATGGTAATATATTCTGTAAAATCAGACATTAATTGCATATAATATGTAAACCATTACTTGCATTGTGAATACTTTTACTTTTCTTAAAATCTTAGTACATTTCTCTCAGGGTTGATTTTCTTAATTTCTTGTTTGTTTATCTGGCGGCATGCAGCTTTAAATCTTCAAATTATAGAATGGACTTGGTCTGAAACAAAGCTTTAAAATCTGGATAATAAATCGCATAACTCATCGCCATTACATGTAACTTTCTCTTCACTATTCATTGCGTTAGTGCCAGACTTCACTATTCATTGCGTTAGATAATGTCTCTGCTAGAATCAATAGTTTTGATGGTCCATTTGTGACAATTCTAACAGATGTAAATAAGAGAATAACATAAGAAAATAATGGTTGTTGTTTTTCAATTTATTTCAGACTTAAATATAATTCAGAAATAACAGCTGTAGCATGTTCTTTCTCTAATAAAACCTGTTCTTTATCTTACACATTTCTCCATTACACTACTCCACTACACTACACCATTACACTACCCTATTACATTACTCCATAACACTACTCCACTACACTACTCCATCACACTACTCTATTACACTTCTCTATAACACTACTCCATTTCACTACTCCATTTCACTACCTCCTTGTCAAAATTGCACATCTTATATACCAATGCTTACATGCATAATAACATTATTCATGAAGCGGTCATTATATCATAATTGCATTCTATCATAGCATATCGTTAAAATATTTTGATTAAATCTTTTGATATGTTGCTTCATTGTTATATATAATTCTTCACATTTTTCTTATAATGCAAATAATCGATTCATAAACTCTTAGCCGGCTGGCGGTAACCGATCCTGTGCAAGCGACCAACACAGACCAAGGTCAGCCGGTAATTCTGTTTTATCCAATCATATATCAGTATCCGCATTATTCGCTATTCAGTCAGTACATATTTTGTATTCTTCCCTTCAGAGTTATTAATGATCATGTCCAAATTGAATGATTGGCAAGTCGATTTCAGAAATTTAGCAAAATCCATGTAAAGTAGACTCAGTTCAGATCAAAGATGAATTCATTAATTGTTGTTTTTATTGTTTTATTTTCGTCTAATTAAAATGTAGGGAGTGACTCAGGAGAAATCATGTTAAAACTGTACCTGTCAAAGTGTTTATAATGTTGTTGATTTTTTCTAAGAACAAAAGACACTCTGTGTTTTATTTATAGTTTGGTCTTGTTTGCTTTGGACATTGTAGCAGAAAATGAGATGATTCAAGTCAGTATTCTAAGTTTTTTAATTGCTCGTTAAATATTAATAAAAATAATAAATTTCTTTTACAGAATAATGTAATAACATCTTTGACATTTTTCGCAATTGCATTTTGTAATGTCTGTGGGTTGCTCTAAAAGTTATTAGCAATACATCACTTGCTAAGGGCATGCCATTTATCTGCTCTGATAGAGGTGGTATTTTCAAAATTAGCACGTATTGTATGATTTCTATTCATCAATTCCTCATTGGTTATATTTTAAAACAGTTTTGTAAATAGTGGGCGAAAATTGGTAATTATATTCATTTTATGAAGATTATAAATTTGTTTAAAACAAGTTGCTAAGAAGCATGACTTCGACATCACCGTACCTTGCATTGCAAGTCTTTACAAGCACCTGCATCTTCCGATCACTGAAATTTTCCTTGGGAGCCTTTATC